CTCTTCCCATATGATCCAGCATCCTTGACTAAAAGGAAGGAAAACTGCTTTTCCCATGAAGTATCCTAAAACTCTGAAAGGAAAGAGAAGCATGTTTCGCAGTTCTGAGAAAGTCTACGGAAATAAATAAAATGTTTTCAAGCTTTATTTGAGATCGACTCTTGTCTATGCTGTGGAGGAACTGGCTTCATGAGCAAGGGCAGCACCATTCTTGCTGGTTACTGGGGCATCACCTTTTATGAAAGTGTTACTGCTCCAGGTGTCCTAAAGCATGGATTTAAGATTACCACCCCTATAGTGGTCAGATGTTTGCATAACTCCTCCCAAGCTTTCTCATTTGCTATGCCCCTATCCTCCAGGAAGAGGCCTCTTTGGGAAGTAGCGGATTCAGGTCACAGGATTTGGCCTGAGCACATCAAATAAATAGAAACACTCCACACATACAGACCCAACAGTGTCCTTCATGGCCCACGACCTATCTAACCACCTAAGGTCACTGGCCAACATCCAGTTTTGTTTGGGTAATATCCTCCCCAAAAAACCTCTCTGATTGTCTCTGTCATAGAACCTTGCTCTTATCTCCCAAGGATTGTATCAATTTTAATTAAATACATTTATTTGTATGCTGATTTAATGTTACTCTCCCCCACTAGTCATTAAGCATGAAGAGGGCAGAGGTCATGTCCACTATTATATACACAGCACCTTGCACAGTACAGGGTACATACTAAACATCTGGTGAATATCATTTGAATACGCGAATGAATAGGAGCATTGACGTTCAAGTGAGTTGCCCACAACTGTGTGAAGGGAGTATCCCTCAGGAAACGCAGTTTCCAAGGAAAATCAATTGAGGCAGTAGAGAAGAGGATAGCTGAGGGGATTCCCAAATCATCCCTTCCTTTAAAAATGGCATTAACAAATCCTGGGAGCGATATGGTACGCTCGGAAAGACCTTCCAAGTCAGGAAGAGGGAGGTTTTAATTCCAGCTCTGCCACTTCCTGACTGTTTCTGAGCCTCAATTTTCTCATTTGTAAACATGGGGGTAATGTAATAAAAAATGAATTAAACGACATAAAGCCTGTGAAAACGCATGGCAAGAAGAAATAAGTTCAGGGTCCAGCCCCACGGCCGAGTGGTTAAGTTCGCACGCTCCGCTGAGGCAGCCCAGGCTTTCGCTGGTTTGGATCCTGGGCGTGGACATGGCACCACTCGTTGGGCCACGCTGAGGCGGCGTCCCACCTGCCACAACTAGAAGGACCCACAACTAAAATACACAACTATGTACCGGGGAGATTTGGGGAACAAAGCAGAAAGAGACAAAAAAGAAGAAATAAGTTCAAAGACCCACTGAATTAGTCTCCTCTCTGTGACCTAAGCAAGCGAATTCAAGTCAGATTGGTTCTAAAGCTTAACTTTTATGGATGGCTTCAACCTTTATCTCTTCCAAAAGTCCTCCATTAGGAGAATTCACATTTCTTGAAATGAAGGGATAATTCGGATTATTGCTCAGTCCTTACCAAACTGTGACCTGAGTCCCATTAGTGGCTTAGCAAGTTTCCGGAGACTTTCGTTCACCATTTTGCTGCCTGTCCTTGCCAATCTGCTTACTTTTGATATCAGATATGCAGATCAGAAAAAGAGAGAATGATTAAGAAATAGCCCCAAAGCAGCTAATGTGACAGCTCCCTGAAGAAAAATCTAGATATTTGTATAAACATTTCATGGTTCTCAGCAAGAATCGCTCTGCAAGTAGGTTTCTCCCTACATTTGAGGTTGGGTATTTTCAGTGGTACCCAACTCCCTTACTTTTTTCAATGGTATGGTGGGAAGAATATATTTTTAAGTGGAACTTACATTTGAAGTCAGAGAAAATAAAATCTCAAAGCCCCAACACAAACAGCTAAGCCACAATTCAAAAACTTTCCCTTAGGTTAAAAGGAAGCCAATGAGCCCTAGAATTAACTCTGAGCCAGGGCAAGAAGCACAGAAAACAGCATTCCTTGTGAATTGCTGACTGCCCCAAGTAAGGGATAAAGCAAACACATGGAACTAGCCATACATGTCTTCAAACAACCATCTATTGGTCAATCATGAAGGCTCACATTAGCAGAATGAAAAAATTATAAAAAGTTTTTTTTAAAAATCACAGAAAGCAAACAAACAGTTCCATATGAGAAAAGCCACATAATTGGAAGTCTTAAGGAAAATCAAAGTTTGACTTCAAATAAGCTTTTCTCTGGTGGGAAATAAACACTACAGCATCTGCCTTCAATCCATTCTTGACCAGTTAGGATTAGCACATCCTATAATAACTTCTCAGTGTTAATTTCACAAAAGGTAAGCAATGTACTATTAAGAAACCAAGAGAAGTCATTACAAAAAAATCACATCAGAGACCCACAAACAAGTCTACCACAATTTACTAACATGAAAATAGTAGATCAAGCTTATCTTCAGAAAAGGTAAGTTCGTGCTTAACTTAACTGCTTACCTCCCAGTTATAGACGTTAAAACTCCCAATAACCAATTTAAGAACCCAGAGTTTCACAGAATCATTTTGGTTAAAATCAAACAAAGATTAACATCTGGCCACAAGATCTAAGTGTGAGTAGGAAATGGAGTGAGGAAGCGGTCATGTTGAAGTTTGTATATACATGGACAAATCCAAATTTCTGCAAAGGAAGCAAAAATAAATGAGTTTCATTTCTCTGAACTTCTGCAAAACATGTTAGAGTTTCATTTTTACACTGTCTTAAGTGGTTGTCTACTTGTTTTATGAATGGAAGCTTTATCTTTTGCAGTAAAATATTAAGTTCTCAGGGGTGGATCCAGGTTTTGTGGTGCTAGCATACATAATTTGAGGGGTCCTCTCTAAGAAAAAACCCCACAAAATTATGAACATGAATTATGTAGAGGGTATTGCAAGTGAGGGGCCCTGGAGGTTAAGTACCAGCAGCTTCTCAGTAAATTCACCACAAACGCGAGAACCAACCAAGTCTTATGTTTGTTTCATCAATCTGGTGTCTTGCAGAGCACTGGGTATTTTACAGGCATTCAGTACTTGCTGATTCCATTCATTTCAGAAGCAAGCAAAGGATATGACTATGAGATTGAATTCAAGGCCAAGCTTCGGCCCATCCAAATGGGTCAAGACAAATCTTAACTCTTCATTTAGTTAGAACTTAAATGACAGGTAGCATTAAATGTAATTTGAATTCATGTTGATTCTGTTATTTAATAATTGTCACCTAGTTAATATTTTAAAAATCCGACAAAGACTTTAAAAAATCATTAAATAAAAGCTGGATTATACGAGTCGTAGACTAAACACTGTAGTTCCCGTGTGTATGCCCACTGTTTATGATGAACAGCTGCAATTCATGTGCACTCCTTTCCTGATAGGGACATCTGTGGCCTATTATCAATGGAGTTACCCCATAAGTAGAAGAGGTTACCAATTCCAAAAAAACTTGTAGGAGTTTTTGATGTGTTGACCTGTTTTCTCATACTGCCTGCCAACAGTCAGCATACTGCATCCTTCTTATAAATGTGAAATAGCTAAAAGAAATTCATCTAATTCTTCAGGTCCTATTTATAGGTGTGAGATATTATACAAGCAAACAAATCATGAAAGTAATGACTCACTAAGCCCACAGGTTTATACTTCAAGCTTAATACTTTAAGTAATGCTATGCAGAAAACTGCAGAACGCTCAACCTATGTTCAAGTCCAGAGTTATAACCAGATCAATGTATGATAAAGGACAGACATTTTGTGAATGTTCCTGAATATGAACATATTAATAACCATTGATCCTAAAGATTTCACTCTATATTCATATATGAGGAAAATATCTTGAGAAAAACCCACTGTCACCAATAACCTTATTCACACTGAAATAGAACTTAAAGACCTTTCTTAAGACTGATACACATGATTGCATAAAAATTTTTTAAATGTTTTCATAAAAAATAATATTAATAAACAACTTTAAAAGCCAAGGGAAAAATTAGGAAAAATATTTCCAAAGCAAAAAACTAATTTTGTTAATATACAAAGAGTTATAATTAGATGATCATTAAATGGATGACAATAGTCCAAAATAAAAATAAGCAAAGGATATGAAAAGACAGTTCACTGAAAACACAAATACCCAATAAGTATTTTAAAAGATGCTAAACCTCACTCATAAATGTAAGAAACATAAATTTAAAGACAATGAGCTATTTTTCAATGGACAGGTCATGGTAGAGATGGTTTAAATGGTAGAGATGAAAATATGCCCAGTTGGTAAGGCTCTGGGCAAAGAGAGGGAACAGGCACTGTCATTCCCTGTAGACCGGAGTGTGGTTGGTACAACTTTCTGGAGGGCATTCTAGCAATATCTTTCACATTTCAAAACATAATGGGGGAACAAAACCTATGGAGGAAACATAATTATCAATGTGTGAATTATAAGGGACTCTGCCCTACTTTATGTAACATGTGACGTAACAACTTAGATCGAGGATGATATCCACGTGCATTTCCATAAAGCAGATGACGCACGGTGATTGTTAATAGTTACTATCATCCTTGTCATCATTATTATAGCCACTGTTCATTAGCTGATTCCTATGGGTCTAATACTGAGCTCCATACTCCACACATATTAGCACATCTAATTCTCACAATCCAGTAAGATTCCTGGTTAATTGATTATTTACTACAATTATACACAATTATAAAAATATGGAGAAAATTTTACGGTAGCAAATAGTAACTGAAATCTATAAACAAGTGAGTCTAGATTTATGGTATGTACTCCTCTTTTATAGATTTTTCATGAGACATTTTTACCAGAAATAGAGCATAAAGTGGCTCCTGAAGAACCTTCGTCCCAGTTAATCCTTCCTCATGCATCTCCCTCAGCATGCCAAGCACAGCAGATTCAGAACCTTCTCTCTGCACACAGCCTCACCTGGCTATCACCTCCCACATGCCTTCAGACTCTTACCTGTCCAGCAGCAGTTCCAGCACTTCTTTAGTGGAGGCAAAACCTCTGTACGTTGACAGGAAGATGCTGATATAGGTAAAGTCATTGTCTCCAAAAGCCGTCAGCAGGTTCTCCACAAGCTTCTCCAAGGTGCCAGCTTTTATGGTCCTGATCTTACAGGTCTCATACTGACTGACTGTATGTCCTGGAGGCAGCTGGTCCCCTTCAACCTGTACAATAAATTCATGATTAAGATCAGGAGAAATGACTCCTTAAAGTAAAACTGAAAACACTGAAGTAGTGGAAGCATGGCCTGTCATGTTTTCCCTCGCTCTTATTTAATTTCCCTACAAGTCACGGAAGGCAATCCTCTCACCTGTGAGTGTAGCAGAATTGGGGAGAGAGGTGGCGCCTGGGTCTGGGTGTACGTGTGTGCTCCCTTCCTCTCTAGAAGTAGAGGTATTACTTCTTCGTGCTTACATTTGCTTCTGCTTACTCCCCATCAAGAACCATGTTGCCAGCATATTTTATCAAGGATGTTTCCTGTGACCCCCCGGATCGAGTTTAGCAAACGTTATCAATCATTTCCTCTGTATTGCTTCATGTTATGTTTTCAGACTCATTCTTAAAGACAGCTCCTACAGTGCGGTGCTGGAGCGGACTCATACTGGCTTTAGAGAGCTGATGGTTAAGTTGTTAGGATTTGTGTGAGCCAGCTGACATTTGTTAATAGCTTAAAAAATCAGCCAGGGTAGGAGCATGTTCTCCATGGAAATCTACGGAGATCTGACCATTATCTACTGTTCTTCCAGTCCATGGAAGGCAATATACTTTCAGACAATATCATCAGCAATCAGCAGAGTTGACTGAGAGTTACCTGTAATAAGCAGCACTGGGCTAATCTCTGGGGAGTAATGTTAAGGGTGGGTAGGTACATGACCTGTCTTCTAGAGACTTGCAGACTTGGAGACAAGAGAAGATATTTGCTCATGAGAAGTAGCAATCACGTGAGAATGAAACTGTGAATGATATTGGTAGGTATAATTGCACCTTGGAGACATAAACCATAATACACAAGAATTGATTAGGATGAAATCTGTAAAGCTCAAAAATTGAGTATGAGGGAAGAGAACTGAACTGGAGAAAAATATGGGTGTGCCTTACATTCTGCAAAAGATCTCTGTCTAACAAATTATATAGAGACGCAATTTTCAAAGTTTAACTTGTCCTTCATAGGCACCAGGGAAGATGACCTACCAAGAGGATCTTTTTCCAAAGCAAATAACCATTCTAAGGGATGCAAACAATCACCAGGCAATCTCTCTGAATTGTAAGTTTGAATTGTTTTATATCAGATTCTCCTAAACTGAAATAATCAGACATGAAAATTAAAGAAGAAGGGCAAAAAAAAGAGACAACTGAATCTCCACATGATGACATTTTGCTTACCAAGTTGCACGTTTGCTTTCTCTTCACCTGGCCTGTCAGAAGTTAAACCGCTGGAAGGAAATTAGCCGGTGACATTGCTTTCAGTAAGAACAAAGAGGCTGTAATCACTTTCAGAAGGGGTTGGAATAGCTTAATGTCAGCAGGCCTCACTGCTAACAGGAATTAATATTAAGACTCCAGCTTATGTGGTGCACAACTTTATGTCTTTATTTAATTTTTGAAAGATACTTTTAGTTTACTAAACAGAGGGATCTAGTTCAGGCAAAATACCAAAAGTCTCTTTAGGCCTCTTAGGACTGTTGACTCAGATCATGGCATAACAATTGTTCTTTATCACCCTATATGTAGTCTCAGAATAGGCCTGACAGTATCCATCTGTCTCCCAGGAACTTCAATTAACTTTAACCAGGAATAATAAATGAAAAAGATATATGGTTTCAAAGTCTACGTTTTTAATTACTTGGTACAGCGCTGCCCTGAGTGTGTGCTGTATAACACTGGTGGCAAAACAAAAGGTTCTGGGGTCAAGTTTGGGAACTACAGGGTTAAACAAAGTCAAATACATTTCTTTACTGCAGAATTTTTTAAAGTCTTTAATATGCCAACATGTTATGAAACTCCAAGAGAAGGATATGTATATGACATTTCCAAATAGATTTCCCTTTATTCTCAGAGCACCTTGCAAAACATTAGAATGAATGCACTTTGGGAAGTGTTAGCTTAGTAAGTCAAGTCACTGTGATGCATTTAAAACTTGATTCACATTTGTCACTTTTCACTTAGAAAAAAAGAAAAATCAAGACATTGTAAAATTTAATGTTGATTTTTATCTTCAAACTTCTATATTCCTTTAATCTCTTTCTTAATACCAAAATTTAGGATGTTTTGTGTATTTTACTTTGTCACTTCAAAGGACCTGGTCAAAATAATTCCCAGCCTGATTATATTAAAAAGAAGTAGCTAAAAAACATACTTCAATGTCAAATGTTAACAACAACAACAACAGGGATGGCTTCTCAGTCTCTAGGGATATTCAAACTCTAATTCTAAATCTAGCTTCCTTATCTTGTGATGACGTCAGGGCTCCCTTACAAACAATTTTGTAATTTGATGATTCTTATTTTACTCACAATGCAAATTTCACCTTAAAACTAAATCTTTTCTCATTGAAAGTAATAACTATTTAAAAGAACTAATTTTTCCCTGAGCGTGGATGTGGCCAAAAATTCAAACACAACAGAAAAAAGCTTGTCAAAGGACCTGATGAAGTGGGTCCCTTTTCCTGCCAGAAAGCAGATTTGGCAGGAAGCCAAGATTCTCCCTTGGGAATGGGCTCATGTTTCTCATTAACCCAGTTGCTTCCTTTCAGTCCTCCTTCTACTCTGGAAAAAAATCTCAATATGCATGCCTGATCCCAATATGTCCCTTTAACCACTTTTGTTCCTCAGTGTTTGCATCTGTACATTAGGAAGAACCATGTCTGAGCTATCAGAACAGCTAATAAAATATTTCGAACATTTAGATTCTAAGTGCAATGAGTGAGCATCAATGACAATATCATAAAATGAAGTAGAAGAATTGCTCTGGTGCCTAAAATCATTCTCACAAAAATTAACAATGCATATTAAAGTGTCAGAGCACTTGCTTAATGTCATCTTCTGCACGTTTGCTAAGCGCCCTAAAATCTACTTGCTATAGCAGGGGGAAGACCAGGTTCCTGAAGATGAGTTCTAATTTACCATCATTCAAATAGACTACATTTTATCTGCTTATTACTGGAATTATTTTGAAATAAAATTACACAAAAGCGAAACACAAAAAAATATTCTATGCCTTATGGTCAGACCGTTCTCCGGTTTATTCTATTTTCATTTTTGCAGCAAAACATTCAATAGCTACATAGCCTTTTAAGAGACTTTAGGATCTGTTTTTGTTTATAATATCTCAATACATTAGAATCCTAGTTTAAAAGAAAAGTTGGGGGGGTGGTGCTTGGCAGACAAGTGTTTAATAACCCAGACTTAGAGAGCAAGACATGGAGGGCTGCGCCTGCCCTCTGGGTTAGCACGCTAACAGGAAACAGCTCAATCTGGATTTAATCAGAGACCATCGCTTTACTGACAAGATCATGATACTGAGGCCACAAAAATGTTTCATGATTTTTTTTTGGCCAATCTTTTTGCCATTAGAATTCAGCTTTTCCTAAGAGAACATGTCTGACTCCTATGGGGTAAATATCTAAAACTCTGCCCAACTGTCCTAGCCATAGAACTTCCATAATCCTCCATTTTGGCATGAGGGGGACAGGAGAAAGAGAATGTGAGAGATGAAATGTGCCATATTTCAATTCTGTTTCCAGTCATGAAGAAATATACTCTTTCACCTTCTAAAACTGTTAACAACTTGGGTGATTCTAATTTGAAAAAAAGAATTTTTTTCTTCAATCAAAATAATACTTTAGTCATCTGATACTCTAATAAGGAATGTGCTAAGTAAACAGCCTCATCAGAGTGGAGACAGTATTAGAGTGGAGACACTCAGTAGAGTGGAGACCTTCTCCAAGCTACACTGAGTGTTCAGTACAGCAGTTCTCAGGCATCCTGGCCTGAGCAGAAAAGTAAATAGTGAGTACTATCCCAGCCATAACTCCCTAAGAAAATCTAAACCATATCCAAGGTTTTGTAGGCTTTAAGAAGGTACACACTGCTATCTCTACATTCACGCCAGAACGCCGAGGGTACATTTTACACTTCCTTTAAAATGCCCTACACCCACCACCCAGCAACAAGAAACCATCGCAGTATAGGAAATGCCATGAGATGACTCACAGATAAGCTCTGACTGTCTGTTCATATTGCCCAAATATGTATAGATTAAATGTCCTTGCCACATAAAGAAAAAATACACGTATGTAATGGCACACAGCAGAGCATCATGGCGGAGCCAGTGCATCTGAGTATAGTGAGCTATTTACACATGGGACATTCAGAGATGGAAGGCACAGTCTCTACAAACTCCTAGGGCATGTGGTGCAAGCTCAGTGTGAGCTTCTGCATTGTGTGAACTTCTACTTTGGGTGAGAACTCACTTTTTTGCTAGGTTAGGGTGGCCAAGATGCCCAGTTAAATTCAAATTTCAGATAAATAACAAATAATTGAGTAATTTGAGGGCATAAGTATGTATTTAGGACTTACACATACTGGAAAATTACTTGTTTACCTGAATATCAAATTTAACTTGGCATTCTGTATTTCTATTTGCTAAGTCTGATAACCCTATGTTAAGTGCAAACAAAGGGTAGAGAATAGATCTCTCTTTCATTTATTCATTTACTTATTCAGCCACACATTCACCAAACAGTACTATGTGCCAGGCACTGTGCAAGGTAATAGAGATATAAACGTAAATAGCACGCAGTTCTGACACTCAGGCTGTTCAGTCTGGTGGAGGAAACAGACACAAAGAAATCACTATGACGCCATGTGAGTAGAATGGTGGGGAGAGAGGCAGATATCATGGAAGAACCAGGAGGGACCTGGCATAGAGCAGCATCAGAAAAAGATTCCTGAGTAGGTGATGCTTTGCGCTGGGATTTAAATTATGAGTAGCAGTTAACAACGTTGGGGTGGACATAGCAGGCAAAGAGACCAGGACAAACAAAGGCATTAAGAAGAAAAGAGGTGTAAGGGGGGAAATGTGGATGCAGGAGCAACATGACACAGGGAATGAACTGCTTGGCTAGAAGTCAGCAGGAGGCTACCTCATTATGGAAGACTCAGGT